AGGGCTGCGCGCCGGAGCCCGTTCCGCGTCCCCGCCGCCGGGAGGAGGTGCCCGCACGCTCGCGGCGCGCGCCGGCCGCCAGACTCGGCCTGTGGGCGATTTCCTCCGGACCCGAGCTCCCGGCCCAGGAGGAAGATGCAGACCTTTCTGAAAGGGAAGCGAGTTGGCTACTGGCTGAGCGAGAAGAAAATCAAGAAGCTGAATTTCCAGGCCTTCGCCGAGCTGTGCAGGTAAGGAGAGACGGGGCTCCGGCGCACCGGGACCCCCGCCCGAGCCCGGGTCAGCCTCAGCGGCTCTTTGGGGAGGTTAGGGCAAAACGGGAAGGAGCGGGGCGCGGGACGCCGAGTCCCAGGAGCCGGGTGGCCGTGGGGGCCGCCGGCTGTGTCCGAGGGAAGCGGTGGCCGGTGCGGGCGGAGTGGCACGGAGCAGGACTCGCAGATGCGCGGGGATCCGCGGTGGGGAAGCCTCCCGCCGCCCAGGGCGCGGTGGGGAGGCTGCTCAAGGTGGCAGAGGGACCTGGGAAATCGGGGGATCCACGCTGTCTGCCTGTGGCTGGAGGTTACTTTTAAACTCTTTTTCTTCCTTTGCCACCTTCCCTTCCTGGAGAAGGGCACCACTGTTCATATGTTCGTGGACCACCTACTACGTGCCCCGCGTGTGCCGCTCTTGAAGCTGTCATTGCGTGTCGCGGGTTAAGCCTGTTTGAAGCGAGTAGCAATACTTGGCATGTATGTGGTGATTTGCTGTCTCATTAGAGCCTCCCACTGGCCTTGAGAATTGGCCGGGGTGGTGATTCTGGGCCACGTGTTTGAGAAGGGGGATCCATCCGCAGAGAGGTAGGGTACCTCGCCTGGGGTCGCACAGCTAGGGAGTGGCTGGTGCAGAGGAGGTGCTGGGTAAATGCATGCGGTGTAGAACGGCCTTCCTCTATCTGGCGCGCCCTCCCATCCCCGTGCTGGTGCTCAGTGGTGGAGACTCCGGGTGTTTTAATAAGATTTCGTTCTTAATCCGTTACAGAAGCATCGAGTCTTGGGTCAGGTATGCCTCACCTGGCTCCGTAGCTGTGGCTTTGCTTCTGAGAAGCTGTTGGTTAAATCCTGTTCTCAATGAAAGCCTAAGAGAATCCAGCTCCCCAAGCTTTTTGCAAAACTCTAGGTGGAAACCTTTTGTTATGCAGTGTCTCAGCTTGGTAGATTTGATTCTTGAAAAGGGGCCCCACTTGCATTTTTGTCCCTGTTGGGTCCCCAAACATCTTGTGTTGTGAACAGTTGGGTTTCCTTATCTCCTGGCACGCTGGAGCAAGTGGCTGGTCTGAGCTGCTGGCCTTCCCAGGTGGGCTGGCAACACCTCTGTGCCCCTCGTGTCTGTCCCAAGGGCCTGCTGTCCCCCTGCTCCGTGCAGACCCTGCAGGCACTCTTCTCCCCGCAGCCGGAGGGGCGCACCTTGTATGAAACAGCTCCTGGATCTGCATTCCTTGGTCTGGGGATGGAGTAGGCTGCCTTCTCTCAGGCTGTCTTCCCCATGAGAAAGCAAGCTTTTCATGGTCGGAAGGGCATGTCGAGCAGCCTGGGGATTCACAAGGAAATTGGGAGGAACTCTCAGCCAGAGCTCTGAAAATGGGTGTGAGGACTTAGAGAACATTAAAAAGAGACACTTGAACATTCCACCACAGATACACAGACTTGTGGAAAAGGTGCCCTAGACCTGGAAGAAATGCGGAGGAGCCCCTTTGACGTGTCTGTGAAGGCTAGTTCTGGTGTCCGGCGCCGGAGCTCCCCCTGCAGTCATCTAAGCCTTGGGAAATCCCAGTTAATACCTTGCACCCTTGTTACTGAGGTCTGTCTGTATTTGTGTCATCCTGTGTCTGCAGCGAAAGCATGAGGCTTGTCATCTGGTTGGTATGTTTTGCTCAGTAATTAGGAGGCTCTTGCAAAACAGTTCCAGCCGAGACGCGCGGCTAGGTCCTCATGCTGGACTTGAAGATTGGCGTTCCCTCCCTGTGGACCCCCTTGCCTTTAAGCTGGAGGGATTCAGGGCAAGCTACAATGTCAGCCGTTCTGGGGGAGATCCAGTGTGGAAGGTTCATTTCTCTAGAAGGGTTGTTGCATTGAAAGTCTAGTTGCCTTCTGGCCAAAATATTGGATTCAAAGAGAAGACAGAAAGCATCTGGGTCATCCTAGAACCTCAGAAAGTCCACTTTGTGTTTTCTTTAGGGAAGCTTTAGATATTTTGTCACTTAAGCTTAAGAAGGAAAAGAAAATACCAAAAAGAGTTTTTCTATTTCTTCTATCCTTCATTACTCTCGGGGCAGTGCCCCCTGGTGGCCACGTTTCTACAATGGGTGCAGAATGCTCCCACCCTTGAAAGGGTGGCCACAGCCCTGTGCTGTTGTGTTTGTTGTGAATGCTGGTGGTGGATTTTAGTGGGCCGGGAGGTGATGTGGATGGACATTGTCACGTTTTCAACATTCGCAATCTGGGGGTCCAATGCTCCTGTTTTGATGGATGTTGAATCGTCTGTAAATTCCCTAATGAAAAAGTCCAGAGATGTTTGAAAATGACCTGAGGCTCTGCTCCGAGTGTTTGGCGCAGTGTCAGCACCAGAGAGGATGACCTGAAGGGATGGTGATGAGTTGTTTAGTTGAACGTCAGGCCTTGTAAAAATCTTAGAGCAGGAAGGGATGTTGAAGATCATCTCATCCAGCCCCTTTGTTTTACAGATGGGGAAACAGGCATGCGAGGGGGCGGGTTCCATACTTTTGTCCCCTTTTGTTTAACTTCTAGAATGGGCTCTAACGGGCGACCTTGAGACCCACACAGAAAGCAATCACTTTTCTTCCTTGGGCATCTCCACAGTAAGGCGGACCCCTTCGTCATCTTCACAGGGGTCCAGCTGCTGCCTTTTTGTCCTAGAGATGCTTTTACTTGGACGGCTGAGTCGTGCCCTCAGCAAGCGCAGTGCTTGTTCTCCGGGGGGAGCATCACACACTGATGACGGCAGCAGCGGGAAGCCTGGTCCTGCCTGCATACTTATGTAGGCATAGGGGCCAGCGCTCCAACCCTTGCTGCACCTTGGTAGTACGGGCCCTCTGACTAGTCAACAGATGGGCCTTTGACTCAGCTTGTTTGCTAGTGGGACCGTTTGTTCCTGTCATTCTGTTTCTTCCCCTCTCTCAGGGACATACTGTGGCTACATTCTCTCTTACCCCTCCCACCTTCCTTCCCCTTCCACAACACTGGGGCTGCCTCGCGGCTACCTCACGCCCTCTCTGTGGCTTTTTCAAGATGCCCAGAAGGGACTTCAGAGGCAGAGCAAACAAGTAAAGCTGTTAGTTGCAAATTCTGGGTGATTTTAGTTTTTTTTTTTTTTTT